TTTGGGGCAAGAGCTTGCTCACAATGAGTCCATTTTGAAGCTATTTCAAGACTCTGCATTGGTGCTTTTAATGTCCTTAATACTTTATTGAATTTAACCTTATATTGATACATATTGCTTTTTTTCCACACTCAAATGATTCAAATAGGAGACAGTGAAATCAACTTTTCCAGTTCCAGTTTGTAGTTTCTGAGTGCGTTGCTTTAATTAATACAGTTGTGTTGATCCATGAACTAGATTCCACGTCATTAACCTTTCGCAATAAGGCGAGGTAAAGCAGAGATCTGTGAATAACTCAAAACTTGATTCCTTGTGTTTGGATGGAAAGGGTCTGACTTCACATGTATTGGGGGAAAAATAGACTCCAAATAATGAACACGCCTGTGATTGATGACCAGAGGGAATTCCCTGACAGACACATCTCTGCTCACTCAACTCAAGGCATGCTGCTGATGACCTTGTCCAGCCAATTCCCCTCCATCTTGCGCTCCAGTCCCAGTTCAACTGCACATTCCCCAAATCCTGAACTAAAACTTGCAAAGAGAGCTCATGTCCATTAAATGCAAATTTTGATGCGAAGGGTAATTAACTGGATGAACTATGCATCTCTGAGGTGGATTACTGTAATTGTGAGGAGGGGAGAATGTTGTTAGAATAAGACAAGACAAAAACATTGTCAGCATGTGTAAGACCTAGAGAGCTGTGATTTCCAAGCAGATCTATAACTGTCCCAGGTTTGAACAAGGGTTCAAATATACACAAGTAGCGACTTTGTTCTTAATAGGCTAAATCAAACCTAGGGTCTGGGTATCACAGCAAAAATGTACGACTATTAACTTGCAGCTACCTGCCCAGGAAATTAGGACCCTGAATAAACTCAAGAACCAAGAGAAATTAATATACCAAAAACGTATGACTATTTACACGCACTACCTGCCCAGGAAATTAAAGAAACAAAAAACGCTGCCATCAAGCTGATTTTGACTCATGGCTACCTAACGTGTTAGAGTAGAGCTGCCCCATAGACCCCGATAAACACAAGAGCCAAGCAAAATTCCATTCTACTTATTCTTAACTTACCATTCTTCTCTCCTTTATGAAGTTTTCCCCTGCATAGAAATGTGCAAATGCCACATATCCCATCTGGGACACTAAAAAGACATTGTAAATTCGCCAGTGTTGGCAGAAATGTTAGAGGTAATCACTTGCCACCTATTTTTAATGAGAAGCATAAACTACTTCGACTGTCCTCCAGGGATACCTCTGTCAGTGGGAGTATGCCCACTGAACTGGTTTTTCTACTGTGGGGTTGTATCTTTTAGTGACTGACACTCTGTGGCCTCATCACCCTTGTGGCCAGTCAGTGGTGTCACTCATATTGGTGTCACCCAGAGTGGTAACTCCCAGTGGAGTAACTCATGGTGTCACACCCCCCCACCGCCATGGCCAGGGCTGGCCCGCAAAGCCCCTCCCCACCGCCATCCAGCCCCTGCACAGAGCCCCTCCCAGCTCCTCCCCTTTCCCATTGGCCAAGGTGGAGACCCTGCTCTCCATCCAATGGTGGGTGCCAAGGCCTGGTCACCTGCACCCTGAATGGCAGGTGACAGGAGGTGACAAGTTACCACACTGGGTGATGGGAGACACCAACCCTAGTGCCACCACTGCCTTGGCTGCTCCTTTCCCGGTGGCACCGGCCCACCGGGCGGCGCTTCCTGCCTACCACCGCCATCGCGGACCCTGGAGTCATTTTTGTGTCACCCCCTCTGACAGTGTCAGGTGGTATAGTCCGCATCCCCCACACCCCACCCCACACCTCCCTAGGGATGCCACTGTGGCCAGTGGTTTGAATTTACAGGACAATTGGTAAGGGAATTCTCCCAGTCATCTGGCCTGTGATTACCATACAGTGAAGTACTGATAGGACTGCCCAGAATTCTAAGAGCGAGCCTGACTTCACTGACCCAATCTGGTTGAGGGCCTCTTCCGTGCATCAGTAAGACAGGTCAAAATGAGATTGCTCAAATAAAAGATTTAAGTTCTACTATATTGTCATATTTGAGAAGTAAATACTAATCATTTGGTGAGTTCAGAAAGTAATTGGACAAACTGGAATGTGGTCCTTCAGGTAGCTGTCTTTCCCATATAGACTTGCCTGCTTTTTCTTGCTGTAGATTTATTATTATTATTTAAATGGACTCTGTGATGCTTAATGTTGTATGTCAACTTGCCAAGGGGTTTGGCAGTTATGATGTAGTTTGCAGCTATGTAATGATGTAATTACCTCCATAATGAGATGTGATATAATGTAATCACCTCCACAATGAGAACTGCTATGAGCAGCCAATCAGTTGAAACGGAGTTTCCTTGAGGGTGTGGCTTGCAACCAATGTATGTGGACTTTGTGGCAAAGATCGCTGGCTTTTGCTCCCTCAGGATCACGAATCTGACCTTTGGTTCTTGGAACTTGAGCTGGCAGCTTACCTTGGGATTCGTAGGCCTCTGCAGCCTGTAAGACAGAGGCCTGCTGTCTGACCTGCCAATCTTGGGTTCACCGGCTTCTGAAGCTACATGAGTCAGGAGAAGCCTCCAGCCTGATCAATGGACTTGGGACTTCCCAACCTCTACAATCACACACACACACACACACACATATATGTTCTCTGGTGACACAGTGGTTAAGAGCTTGGCTGCTGATCATAAAGGTCAGCAGTTCGAATCCACCAGCAGTTCCTTGGAAACCCTACGGGGCAGTAATCTAATCTGTCCTATAGGTTGCTATGAGTTGCAATCAACTAGACAGCAGCAGGTTTTATATATATGTGTGTGTGTACATACATGTATGCTTCATTGGTTTTGCTTCTCTAGAGAACCCAGCCTAAGACAGACTCACTCATGAATTTCTTTGTCACTTCGTTAATGCTTTCAAACCAAAAGGCCATTTCAATGAAAATATCTCTACAAGCTAGCGGTGGAGGAAAATTGAAAATGCTGTACTTTCTTTTGTTCCCCGCGCACCACCCCCCCTCGGCAGGGCGATTTATCTTTCTTCATTTATTTTACCTTTAAATAACTGCAAGAAGCCTTAAGTGGCCTAATTTAGAAGGAATTAGCCCACCCCTGGCTGAGGGCAATGCATATTCAGAGATCTCTTATACGTCATGCAATGTTTCCTGCTAAATTGGATTCAATGGACTTGGATGGGAATGAGTTCACTTGGCTTGAGAATTTGGCTGGGAAACTGTAAACAATGGGAAGCACTATGTAGAATTAATGCCTCCACCTTGGGGGCATTTGCTCATGTGACACCCGTGGGGTGAGGGAAGGGTCAATTCCTATTTGAAAGAATCTCTGATTCTGAAGGAGTGGTCACACAGGCTGCTGGTGTCACTTACTAATTTCATTAAAAACACAGAGTTGTATCAGCACGGCTAATGGCAAAGGAACATGGAGAATGGGGCAGAAGAGCACGGAATCCTAAGGGGGTGCTCAGGAGCGAGTGTGGCCCCCAGCTCAGCTCCTTCCACGGAGGAAAACGCCCATCATGAATGAACAAAGCCAGCTGGAGAAGTGCCCAGGGAAAATCAGGGCGCTGGACAACCAGCCACTTGGAGACAAGTTTCATGGCATCATAACCCAAAGTAGACAGAAGCGGGGCATTCCCTCACAGAAGAACATGTGCTGTGTTTTGTGATGGCTAAGAAATGGCACAAGAGGACAGGGCTGGCCTGGGTTTTGTGGATGCTATATAAAAAAAGTTGTTATGATCCAAAAACAAAAGTCTACATTCCCAAATTGAATAATTTTATTCTAGCCTGCTCTGTTCTTAGTACAGAACCTAGAATGCTGTTAATTCACCATTGAGTGATGGAAGGGGAAGCATTAGAAAATGAATTAAATGTTTTAAATGATTTTGAAGAATGCAAACTAGGATGCTCTTTAATAATAGACCCTCATGAGGTCTAACATAGCGCCTCACACAAAGTAGGCATCAACAAATCATTGCATATCATAGGTGCTCAATAAATCTTTTGTGACTAGGTAATCACTGAATGGATAATAGGCTTCAGTATGGGGAGGATCTCTCTTTAGGAGGTAGTTTTCTCTTCTCTTGAAGACTAGGAGAAAGAGGAATGCAGAATGATGGGTCTAGGCGAGTTCGTTCATTCATTCAACGTATATTTATTAAGAGCATTTCACGGACCTAAAACCATTCTAGGCACTGAGGGTAGAGAGATGGTGGACAAGACAAAGTCCCTGAGCTCATGGAATATGCATTCTAGTGAGGAAGACAAGTGAGAGAAAAACAAGAACGTATCTAATATATTACTTAGCTTTAAGGGCTTGGAAGAAAAAATAAGGCTGAGTGAGGAGATAATGAGTGACTCGCATGGGTGGCATTTTCATAGGATGATCAGGGAAGGCCTCTCTGAGGAGGTGGCTTTTGAGAAGTAATAATCAAAATGAGACAGTGACCATGAAGAGACATGGAGAAACAGTATTCCAGGCAAAGGAAACCACAAAGTAAAGGCCAAGTGGCAGGACTGAGCATGGCCCGTCTCTGACCTCCCTGAACTCCAGGCTGGCTGCGTGGAGTACAGGAGGGAGAGCGTGGAGGAGATGATGCTGGAGAGCAGAGCAGGGCCCGTGATGCATAGGCAGGGCTGGCTGTGGAATTTACAGGGTCTGATGCAAAATGGGAGTCCCCGGGTGGTACAAATGGTTAAGCGTTTGGCTGCTAAGGTTAAGGTTGGCAGTTCAAGTCCACCAGAGGTGCCTCAGAAGAAATGATCTACTTCTGAAAAATCAGCCATTGCAAACCCTATGGAGCACAAGTCTACCTTGATGCACACGGGGTCTCCGTGAGTTGGAATCGATTAGACGGCAACTGTTTTCACTTTGGTTTGGGATGCAGAATGAAAATGTGGGTCCTCTTGTTTAAATAGCAGGAAATCATGCCTTTAAAAGTATTGAAATATAAAACTTTTTCCTTTCTTTCGCAGTCTGTCTTTCAAACGCCTATGTTTATGTCCTGCTTCCTTGGGTGTAAATGCTCACAAGGTAAGTGCAGACCCTCACAGGTACCTGGGGCCCTGTCCTGAGCAGGGCCCACTGGCTACAGGACTCCCCTTCCCACCAGCCTCTGGGCCAATGAATGCATGCTGGCTGGGTGCAGGGAAATTAATTCACCTTCCAGTGGGCTCCCTGCCCTAACCCTTGGTGAAAGGATGGCCCTCCCAAGGGATTGTAAGCACTGGGCTAGGACACCCTTGGTACCAGGATCAGGGGTGAGAAACAGGCTTGCCCCACTGTGCCTCCTCCCAGTCACCTGTCCAAGTGCTGTGGTTGCCAGTTTGGGGAAGGATGGCTGCTGCTAGGCCCCACCAGTGTACGCACCTGACGGTGAGCACCTCAGTGTTTGTGCCTGGGTCCCTGCTGGCAGTGGAGGACCACAGCAGACTGTGAGCCTCCCTCTCCCAATATGACCTAGTGCAAGGCATTAGCAGTCCTGGGGCAGAGGCAGGGAATGGGAGGCCGGGTGGGGCCTGGGACGCCAGGGAGTGGAGAGGAGATGACCAAAAACCCATGCTGGGGAGGCGGTGAAGTGCTGGGAGGCTGGACTACGTGCTAACCGAGGCAGCGAGCCCCCGAGGCATGCTCCTTGTCCCATTGGACTTCACTGACAAAACACAAATTCAAAGATAAAATTAATAAAAATTTCAACACAGCGATCACAGAGCATTCAACTCCCAAGTGCAGGATGCTTTGCATGCAGGTCCCTGTGTAATTGGGCTGGTCACACACCCATGAAGCGGACATGTGTACAGGCTGTGGTAAAGACGCTGAGATTGATTCTGAATGAGGAAGGTTGGGAATGGGTGCTTGAGGGGAGTAGAAGAGGAAATGATCCGACTTACCTTTTACAGAGATTTTTCCAGCCACTGCAAGGAAGAAAGGCAGAGAGGGAATGATGGGAGCGTGGTGGCTGATGGTGGCTTGAATTTGGGTGACTCCAGTAGAGGTAGTGAGGATGAGTCATATTTCAGATATATTTTGTAGAAAGAGTGACTTCTAAATTAGTCTTAAAGAAACTCTTTTGGACAAAGCCGTCAGACAAGGTGAGGTATTTATTGTAGACTTGACAACAGGAATTACCGCCACACCCTTCCATGTGTGCCATGATGGAATACAATCAGATACATTCCAGATTGTAAAGCAGTAGGAATAATTTTAGGGTACAAAAAAGGCATTATTTTAAAATGATAGACTTAGAATATCTTTATGAAGAAGCATTTTACCAAACAAGTGACAATGAGTACTAAGATTGTGTGATACATCTAAAACAAGACTTCAGTATGAAAGCAACAAGTGAATTTTAAAAAGGAAAAACATCCTGACCCCAGTCCCAGGGTTCCAGGAGAAAGCACTTTGGCTGCATGTTAACCAGGATAGGTGGTACCCAGATCTTCAAGCTTGTGCTAGAATCTCTGAGACCTAAGGGTGGAAAAATAGATGTAGTTTGGGCATGGAGTATCCCCAGCCTGAAGCCCCACTCCATCCCAGCCATGTGTCTGGTCCCTGCGGAAGTGGTTGCTGACTTGCTCGTCCTTTCAGCACAGTTTCCACTGGGACCATTCCTATGCCAGCTCCCAGCCTCTCCCTGGAAGAGGCCTCTCTTCTCTTCTGTCTGGTTCTGACATTTACGTAGGAATAGCCTGCTTTGTGTCTCATCATTGTGTTGTCTTTACTCCTTGAAAGTGACTAGCTGGGCAGAGACGGCACCTTTTCTGAGATAGGATAATAATCAAATCCTATTTATGAAGGTGCTTTTAAAAGCATTGTTATTTAACTCTCATTGACATTTCCTATTAACTCTCTTGACGTAGAAGTCCTTGGGTGGTGCAAATGGTTAACGTGTTTGGCTACCAACAGAAAGACTGGAGTTCAAGTTCACCCAGAGGCACCTCGGAAGAAGGCCTGGCCATCTACTTCTGAAAGACCAGCCATTGGAAACCCTATGGAGCACAGTTCTACTCTGAAACACATGGGGTTGCCAGGAGTCAGAGTCGACTCGATGGCAACTGGTTATCTTGATATAATGGGATCTCTTGCTCACTTTATTTGGAGGTGTTGAATTCTCCCGGTAGATGAGAAGGGGGTGGGGGTGAATATTGGAAGGGGATTAAGTTGCCTTTCAGAATCTCACCTAGCTGGAGTTATTATATGATATTTAATGAGGAAAAAAAGTCAAAATTCTAAAAAAAAAAAAATTTGTACGCTTCAATTTGTTCACTTAAAAAAAAGAAATCAGAAGTATAGAGTCAGAAATGTGTTTTCCATTCCTGAGTCAAGGATGCTGCTGAGATATGAATGGTGCATTGTGGTGGCAGTGAGACCATTGCCACCTCTGTTTCATCTGTTCTCAAGAAAATGTTCCAGGTGGTCCAAGAGCCCAACCGCACCTTCTGTGGACCAAGATCTGTCCAGCCCTGTACTTGTCGTTTTTAACTTCTCTTCAGGGAGTGTGATGTGGGCTTGCAAATGTACTGTTTCATTTCGCAAATGTGAAATCCTAGGTTTTGTACTCTGAGTCTTTTAAAAACCTGCCTTTGCTTGATTAATATTTCTTTTCCTGGTGTTAGAATAATGAGTGTCAGTGTAGTTTCAATATCCCAGCTTGTTTTCCTAGTGATGCCTGGAAGGAAAGGGGTTATGGGAGCTGCCTGCGGTCTGCGGCCATGGTCAGAGCTACACAAAGCGGCACATTGTCTGAGTGCAGAGATAAATCCAAACTCAGGACTCGTCTGGTAGTTCAGGAGAGATGTGTTCGGCATCACAGCATGGTACCTTTCCACTGAGCTCAGACATGTTTCCATGGCAAAGGAGCCATGTTGTTAACTGCCAGGATGTTGCAATGGTGTGTGTATGTTATTCACATCTTGACACATGTTAAAGAGCGTTGAAGCATTTTGTATTTTTTAAGGGAATTATCCACTGGTTATAATAGGGTAGAAAAGTCAACATATCTGAAAATAGCCATAGTGACTTGTGTTATTAATGGAATACGATAACATCTTCATACACTTAGAAGATGGATCTCCAACTGCCAAATATGAAAGGTTCAGACGGGTTTTGGAAACGTCATCTTTATCAACATAGCATAGGTTTTCATCAGAATAATAATTTCACTGGCTACTGAAGAACAGTCATGTGGGAGATAGAATTCTATTTCTCTAACAACATTAAGAGATATTATAGAAGATGCTAATCCAATAAGAGAAATTCCAGAGAAGGTAAATGAGAAGTATTCCAAGGGCCTTGAGAGACAGGTTGGAGGAAGATGAAGCACAGAATTTGCTTACTGTCACAGCATAAATAAATTTAGAATAATTAGGAAGAACTTAGTTTTCTATTTATATATCTGAAGCTATATGCTAAGCCTGTAAGTTTTTTTAAAAAAGTGTTTACATGAATTCATTTAGTACATTTTAATCATCAGTAGAATATATAAACAGAAGTATATGAAATAAAACACTTAGAGCTTACTTTTAGAACTATAATTCCTTTCCTGTGGGAAATTTATTACTTATTTGTTACTTTTTCGGATTTAGGTTTTCATAGTAGCTAGATGGAGCCCTAGTGGTGCAGTGGTTAAGACCAAAAGCTGGCAGTTCGAATCCACTAGCTGCTCCTTGCAAACCCTATGGGGCAGTTCTACTTTTCTCCTATAGGGTCTCTATGAGTCGGAATTGACTCGACGGCAACAGGTTCAACAGTAGCTAATTAAGGCTATGAGGTCAATCACTGGATGATATTTTGTCCTTTATTTTGTCCAGAAAGATGATCTACTGTCATTGCTGAGGAAGCTGATAGAGGAGTTATAGGTTTGTGCTGTACTTTTATGATTAAGTTATGCTGGTTAATTAGCACCTAACAAGTTATCACCTATCACTAACATCGTGCTAGTATAAGCGAGATAATATTGACTTGAGATAAAGCATATAAACGTAAAGGAATTTGAAAAATATAGAAAAATATAGAGGACTTTGAAAAATTGGCTGGGAAGTGGTGAGTAATCAGGGTCAAGAAGAAGAGATCCTTCAATTTCATTAGCTGATTTAAAAATTAGTAGTGACTTTTTTTGAGCCCTGTCCTCACTACATTGGATTTATGTTATTTTTTTCGTATGCCATGGAGAATATATATGTGGTAGATATAAATTTTTATAACCGCCAAACTTAAGTGTGTGAAAGATGTAACTTTCTTTTCTATAACTGAACACCACTTCTTCAGCTTCCATACCGTAGGAGTAGAAATTCAATCTTAATTAAATTCAGAAAATCAGTGGGTTTTTGTTGTTATTATTTAGCTTTTCTTCGTTGTTGTTTTGTTAAATCAAGGCTTTATTAGTTAAAATAGAGGCTTTCTTTTCAGGTATTCCAGCCTCGCCACCCCTTCCTGGGGTTGAAATTGAGTCCTGGGGACCTTCACAGGGCCACTACACTGTGAGACAGGCATTTGGTCCTCAGCAGTCACAATCTCTTACATCTCACATTAATGTCCATCATTTCAGGCACTCTGATGATGACTATGTTCACCTGGGTCTCTAGCAGATCAGCCTCTCGAGCAGACTTTTTGGAGGGGGTCTCCTGTGTTTTCAGGTGCTCCCTGTTCTGCTCTAAGGCAGTGGGAGGCTTGGGGGCTGTTTCAGACCCTCTTTGCTTTGCCTACATTCATCTTGCCTCCATGTGTGCTCTGTTGCTGCCATACTAGGCTGGAGGGGCACAAGGAAGTTCTAGGGCCTTTCTCACTCTCCCAGAACCCACCCAAGAAACTAACATAGGTCCTTTCTGTATTTGGGTTTTCAAACCCGTGTTGCACTGGGGAGGGTGGCCATGTGCAGGCCCCTTTTCCTAGAGAGGCACTTGCACGGAAGCACTGCTTCATCTTCATTACGTTTCTCCCAGCTCCACTCTGAGGACTCTTTATCCAGTTTAGGGCAAGAAACCAAGCTCTTATATTATCATGTCTTCTATATAAGTCTAACCAATATGTGTTTT